CCTTTACTGTAGTATATGGACTGATCATGATTACTGTTGTGCGCAGTGACCCTAAAAGGCATATTGTGAGCCAGGGAAAACCCTGATATATATGTAGCTAAGGGATTTTACAAGCTTTTTTTCCTTACCAAAAACAGTATACCTACAAGGTCAAACACAACTAAACCATTTCTAATAGTTTGAAATTGATTTCTACTAACTTTTAAATAAGGTACCCACAGCATGGGTATTCACTTACTGCTGATAAGTGATGCACGTGTTGCATTAAAACAGAAAATTCTTACCGTTACTTCACACCAGTAGTCGCCCACTTCCTTCACTGAATCGAATGGAAGACTCAACGCCTGAGGTGGAACTACAACTCCCAGCTGAGGAAAACATTTTGAAAGGTCAATTACTGAACGTTCAGCAGAAACTTGAATTAGTTAAAGTTGTAGAAAATGAGATTTTAAGGATGAATCAATTTAAGGGGAGGGGGGAGGGGATCCACCTTCTTGAGAAACTGTCGGCACACAACTTCTTTATGGACCTGGAACTCATCAGAGGGCATCTGGTTTATCTTCAGATGGGAGCTTTTAAGGTACTCCACTGTCTGTAAAGAAAACAAAAAAAAACAATCCCTGATGTTTCTCTTCTCATGTGTTAGTGACTTATCTCTCAGGTTCATCACTTCAGAGGGGGAAAGACAAACTCACCAACTGTCCAGTACGCGTTTGCACTCTTTCCTCTGGCTTTCCTTCTCGTAGAAGCTGTTGGTGAAAAAGGTGACGGAGTGAATAACTACACGTGTGAGGGTAAAAAGATGACAGTAGTAAAAAGCGATACACACTCTGATCTCCTCAGCAAACATCTGCTTGTTCTCTGGTGATGGATACACTGCGAGGCCTTCGGACAGCAGCTTATTTCTGCCAACAGACTTTTTCACAAACACAGAGTCTCCTCGACCACCGAGCTCTGGCAGAACAAACACAAGTTGTTGTTTTTTTAATCACACAAAGAGTTTCATTAAAGCACTGAATACTCTGATCTCATGAACTGGAGACTGGAGAGGCTCACTGGGAACGGTCTGCGTCAGGATGAGCTCCATCTTTCCTTGGAAGGTGTTTGGTGTCTTCAACCAGCTTGTAGATCTGTGTCTTCGGGGATGAAGCCTCGGAGGACTGCCAACTTTAGATAAAGGCACCTGCCACCAGCGCTCCACCACAACTGTGTTCTGAGGAGAAATCAAGCACACACTTTAATATGTGCTGTCATGTCCTTAAAAACGAAGGGAGGGTTACAGACACCTTCGGCAAGCTTTCATGGATGTAACATAGAAGCTGTCTTTTTGTGTATCTTTAAAAAGGTAATGCAAGTTTATTTACAGAGAACCATTCATACATAAAGCAATTAAAAACTCTTTACAAAGTTAAAAACAGCATTAAGATCCTCAATAAGCTAAAATTTGATATGAAAATACAAAATATAAAATTATAAAACGAGGCCTAAGTGGACGTTCTTTTTTCTATATAACACATCTAATGACCACTACTTGTTACAGCCTACAAAACAATCTTTATGGAAAATATATACAAAAAAACTGAGATTCATACAGGTATATTTGAAGTTTGTTTTTTTATGACCATTAAGGCCTGTTAGAAAAACAACAATAATCTTTAGTCATTAGTATTTGTTTCCCTCTTCTACTGACACTGGATGGAAACATGTGTTGTAGCTGATGAAAAGTAGATAATGTGTCAGGAAACATACTGTACGTTTAGTTTATTTGTACATTTTTTGAAAGAAGAGTCAAACAGAAAAATAAAACACATGTGCAGGTGAGGTAGAAACCCATGAGGGCTTATCTCAAAACCTCAATTTAAGAGATTAAACTAAGTTAAAATAAAATACAGTAAAAATAACAAAATAAGACTATTTACTATCACAAATAAAATTTACCAATTGAAAATTACATACAAACATTGAAAACATAAAAAGAGCAAAACAGGACATACAGTATGTAGACAATCTAACAAAATCAGGACAATTCACTATTCACTACAAATCTGACATCAACACATTTCTGAGTCTGAATTTGTATCTAGAAAAAGACAAAAAATCATCAAGTAAATAAAGATGTGTGTTCCATAATTTGACTCCACAGTATCTTATTGAGTCCTCGAGATGTCCAACACATTGGTTGGTATAAGTTATTGGTTTGTCTATGTAGCAATAGTTCACTTGACAATTAAAAATTAAAAATGCTTTAAAGCTTTCTGGCAAAGTTTGCACTCATGTATTTAACTTTAAAAAAATAAAGCTACTTACTTGAAGAATATTAATATCAATATGTTACACTTCAGAAAGACGTGTAACCTTAGTCCTACAAATAAGTACAATAGAGGGTCAATATGGTTTGCCATGTTCTTTTATTGTCGTATTTTATGTTTCTTTCATTTTATTTTATGAAAACATGTTTGGGAAAAATATTTCAACCTATCAGTCAATGTTTGGAATCACTTAAAGAAAAGAACAACACTCAGGTTGAAGGATTCAATGTTTGGATTTGTTGTGTCTCTTTTCTATCACTTTAACATGAAGAACTCTGTCTCTGTGATTAATCCTGCCACTTTATGACCTTCTTGTAGTACATGTTAAGATACACAGCTTCTTCATACTACAGCACCATGATTCATGTTAAGGGTTATACTGAACGTTAATCCACAGCCTCATCTGAGACACATTAAACTGAGACTTGAGAATCATTTCTGGAACAAAGCGTACAGGCTTCAGTTTAAATTATTATTATTATTATTATTCAATTTAAATGTTGACAGACTGACCTGAGCAGGAGTCAGGGAGAAACTCCTGAGAGCTGCAGGGAGGATGAGCAGATCCTGAAGGACGCGTCGGCCGGAGCTCCACATGTTTCTGTGTTAACTCAACCAAACAGTCTCTACCCCGCTTTATTATCGACACACAAATACAAAGAAAAGACTCAATGCAGCTTTTTATGGAATGCACCTCCACTTTCAAATAACCAGCTGTAACCTGTCAGAGAAGCTCAGCATGCATTTTAGCCAGAAGCTAACTATCGTCGATTGTGTGTGACTATAAGGACCCAACAAGCTGGGATAGGTGTCCTCAAAGGAGCCTGAATTAAAAGCTACCCTTGAAAATATCTGTGCCTGATTAGAGTTCACAGTCTGAGGATAATCCTGAGCAGGAGCAGAATCAGTAAATAGTTCCACTCTTGTCAAACTATTTGTTACAATGAATTTGTTTAACATTTAAAAAACAAAAGCAAAGGTTTAAATTACATATCAGAGTGTAGTGTGAAGCCTATCTGCATACAAAAGGTTTTTGTTTCATATAAAGGTTTTTTTTGTGTGCAAACATTCCCATGTTTGAGCCTCATTTTGTTGATCACTGTCAAAGCAGAAGATAGAGACTATAATCAAAGTCAGCTTTTCTTTATTTAAAGTGGCAAAACTCAAGTATTAGCTGCCAATGAACAAGGCTATCTTACGAAGTATTTTCTCAAACACTAACTGTTAGATTTGGGTGTAAACAGGAAGTACATGACACATAGTTGTTCTGTTTCAGCAGACTAGCTCTATACAGTGATCTGTCGGAAACAACTAGTCTAGTTAAAATGGACAGAGCTGATAGACGGAAAAAAGACAAATACACAAAATGAATAAAATGTTACAAAAATAAAACTCAAGTCTTGAGTGACTCAAGGCACCGACTCAAGTGTTAACAGGAAACATTCAGAGATAACAATCTTGTAGCAATTTACATCTTTGTGCACACACTGTACTATGAAAAATGAACAAAAACCAACATTAATACAATAATGAAAAGAATCCTGAGCAGGAGCCGAATCAGTCAAATATTCCACTCTTGTCAAACTATTTGTTACGATGAATTTGTTTAACATTTAAAAAAACAAAAACAAAGGTTTAAATCACACATCACCAGCAGCAGAAGAATCCCTAGTTAGACCATAGAAAGAGCTGCGGTTGGGTATCAACCTGTGTCTTACTGTGACAGTCCCACAGCATGCCAGCAGAGCGACGCAACAACCACAGATGAATGTACAAGCTATAGCGACCCACACCAGGGTAGTGAAAATGAAGGCAATCTGGTAGGTTGTCTTGTGGCAGTACAGAGCTCCACGTGTGTAGTTGGGGGGGTATATAGGATAAACCCAGCAGGTGCCTGCAGGGCAACATTTCAGAACATCTTCATTTATTCTGAATAACAACTACACAAAACAACCAAACATTTAAAGCTTTATTGCATGCTACTTTCAGATTTCAGTATCTAACCTGCGATGAACCAGGCCAAATTGAAGAGGTGCAGGAGGGTCATGCAGGACGTTATCAGGATGGAGGTGCAGCTGTTCCTCTCCCATCTCTTGCTGAAGGAGGTCAGAGTTAGAGAGAGGATGCTGGTCACTCCAAACACAATCAGGTAGATGGGGATGTTGGGCTGAAGTGGACAGTTGTGCAGATGTGTAGCCCCTATCATGAACAGTATCAAGAACCAGAAAAAATGTGAAGTGGGATAGAAGGAAGACTCGCAGTAAAAACACAAGATCTAAAATATTATAGTGATCAAAATAATATAAACCCACCAAGAGCAATGGAGGCTATCATAGCCACCCACCACATAATGTTGATCAGAACTACAAAAAAATAGAAGAAAGACAGAGTCAATGATTGGTATGGAGTTTTAAAAAAGGCAGACTTGAGTTTAAAGGAGAACAGACTTCTCACCTACTGTTGAAATCAAAACGGCGCTTTGAGGCCTGAATTCAACCTGTTGAGACGCTTCCATATCTGCAGTGAATAAAAATGTACACTTGTCACAATTATACACTGACATTCACAGGAGGAGCATCTGCAGCACAATGCTTACACTGTACCTGTTTATCTTTGATCCGAGGCACTTTGACGCCTTTTTTCTTCTTCCAGTATTCACCAAGTGAGCGTAGCGCTATGCATGAGTCGTCACCTATCTTTAACAAAGTCTCTCAACTCTAACATCATTTGCTGTTTGGACAGGATGTGGACACATTTTGTCACAAGCCCACATTACAACAACTGTTTCGCAACACTGTGCATTTTAACAAGGAGGAAATCATGATAAAAATCAAACTCTGTTATCTGACTGATCATTCTGCATGCAAAGTGAGTTTTTTTAACCACACAACCAATCACATGTTCTCACGTGTTAGCGATAGCAAACCATACTTCTTTTAAATGTAACACTTTGCAATTCATTAAAGTAAATTAAAAGTGATACTGGGAAAGCACGGGGCAAAATGAGGGATAGTCAGGTGTAGAAAAGACAAGGGAATGCATTTGCCTTTGCAGAGTAAACACTGTGTTATCAGAACTCATTAGACACACAGGGAGCGTTTATACAATTTCTTTCAATGCAGCTGCTTGTGGTTGATAATGATTTTGCTTTCCATTCAGCTATTAGTAGATATGCAATACTGCTGAAATAAATGATGCAAAATACTCAAAAGATTTCTAAAAAAGGGTCTCATATTTATTATTGATCAAACCTTCAAATAGAAACTGCATGTCGGAAAGTAAGACAGAAATCCAGCTGTGATGTGAACTGAACCATCTTGAAAGAGGACTTCTAAGATTCAGTATTGCACAACTTTAAAAGTGTTGGGACTTGCAAAAGAAAGATGGCTTCTGTTGATGTCAAATTAAAGGATACTCAGTTGTTAAATGTTGCACTTCTGTTACCTTGTTCCAGTTTTTTAAAGCATCTCAATCCTTGCAACAGAAACATATATTTTGTCTTCTTTTACGGAAACCTTTCTTCCTAATCAAAAGCTACATTACCAAAAATGCAACTGGCCCGTCCACAGTTGAAAGATTCTAGCAGTGTGGTAGTTGTTGCTTGTGTCGTCTTGAGCAGCTAGCCTCAAGCAGAAGAGAGAAGTTTTCTTCTTTTTTTCCAAACACAGCCCAAACAAAAAACTGCCTCAAGTGATAGAAAGTAAAGAGATCACTTGGGGCAGTGTTTGAGCCTCTTGAAGGAGAAACTCAAGACTTGTAAATGGCTGTTTAGAAGAGGTGAAGGTCCATTTAATAGTGTAGAGGTAACATTTCATTATTTATCAATGTTTAAAGGCAACAGCATACCATGCAAAGATAGTAGGGGAAACTATCCGTCCGTCTGATAGATTAAGAATGAAGCAGGCAGCTGCAGATTTGAAAAAAGCTATGTTACAGTTGAAGTGAGTTTGTGATGCAAAGGTTGACACTTGTTTTCTACCAGGCAGCTGTTGACACAAACAACAAGCACACCCAAGATGTTGCACTGCCACCCTGTGTCAAAGAAATGTGACTGCTTCCATCCACTCAACAAACCAAAAAGCTTTGTAAAGTCAGCAATACACTTCCAGATTATTGTTGTTTTTCTGTATCAATTGACTTCACTAAAGGTTCCTAATGCTCTCTCTGACGATGTTGATTGTCCAAATGTCTCAAAGCAGCAATTAAAACACACTTTGAAAGTTTAAACAGCAGTTTATTCCTGCAGAAAACTTCATTCATTTTGTGTACAGTATCTTTGGTTGCATCTTTAATTCACTGCAGTGATTTTGGCTCAGACGTTTACAGCTTTATTTTTCATCATCTTCTTTCTTAGTGAAGAAATTCTATATTTTAAACTTAACTTGTTAGAGACTGAGTCAAAGGCCTGTCTTCTCTTGATGACCTCTTTTAGCTGGAAATCGATGATCATTTGAATCATGGGAGATGCAGGAAAGTCCATGCAAATGATTCCAAGCCTCTGGTTCAGATCAGTCTTGGCCCTCAGGTAGTCGTACAGCTGCGGGTTTACGCGCTGAGCGACGGCTCTGGGGTACGCGAACACACCGGCCCCACTGCTGAAGGTGAGAAAAACCTGGCCTTTGTTTCCTGTGGGTGCAGCTTCCAGGTGATCATAGACACTCTGCCATTTCTCCTCCACATGAAGGAGTGTTGGAACCTATGAGGAAAGTTCAATGATTTAAAAGCTTGATTTTTAGTTGAAACAAATTTAAGAGTTAGTCTTCTGTGTGCACCCACTTTCATTTGTTTTAAGGCTTAATATGCGATTTTTTTTTGATCCAATAAACAACTTGCGCTGCATTGTTGTGTTAGCATGCTAGTGCTAGCAATCTTTATTATGCTCGTATCTTCACACTGCATGTAAATTTACCTGAAATGAGCGTGATCTAGAAACACAGTTAAGCAGTGAGTACAGTATGTTATTCTTCTTTTCTCTAGTCCCTCAATTAAACAACTTTTATACACGAGGGGAGGAGTCAGCCGGCCATCCAGGCGATGTAAACAAACTGAAGATAGGACTCTGAAAACTCTGAAAACGTCACAGACAGAGGGACTCGGGTGTTACACCCATTGTAGACAGTCATGACTCACAGAGTTATTTTCAGAGGATATACTTGATTTATATTACTTTTAAGTGTGAAAAATCGCAAATTAAGCCTTTAAATCCTTTTCATGATGTGAAGGAGGCACCTCAAACTCAATCAGCTAAATCCTTCTACTTATGTCCCAATCAGTTCATTTTGTAACATCTGGCAACTTTTCTGCTTCTTTCCTTCCTTCATGTAAGTACTAGTTTATTAATGCAAGTCTTAACCAAAATAAACTTAATTTTCCTACCTTCCAGTCATCTGCTATGTCCAGAGAACCGTAGCGCATCCCCAGATCTGGTCCAGAAAAGTCTTGCAGGATGATGAGCTTCCCTCGGGCTTCTGCCATGGTGGGCACAAGCCGGCTGTGCCACAGCAGGTCCCAGTGGGCGTAGCGGTGGATGTGGTCGACCACAGCTCCGTAGATGTCATACGTCTCACTGAACTCCTCCTTCACCCTCATCAGCACTGTCTCACTCTGGAACTCTTGAAGGAACTCAGCCACACCCTCCAGCACGTGTCCAAAGTGCGCCCGCTGATAAGACACCCCGTGGTGGATGGTGAGGTTCCCTTTGACATGACGGACCCTGACGTCCAGGAAGCGGACGCCCGCTCTGAGCTGGGAGGCCAGGCTCCAGGTCTGACACTCGGCGTACACACCGCCGTACAGGGCCATGGTGTTGTGTGTCCCCGGCATGGTGACCTCAGACAGCGGCTGATCGTCAGGGATGCTCGCCATCCAGGACGGATTAAGGAACTCCGGTTTTGGAGTGTCGTCATAGTCTGGTCTCTGAATGGCACCACGACTCAGACCGAAGACTCTGAAACATAGCAGAGACTTGTCAAATATATGGTTTTCATTGGAAATGTTTCTTGTCAAAAAGTCAAGGGTTGAGTCTTATTGTTGATGATGTGGGGGTTTTAAAGCCGTCTGATACATCACTGTCACTACAGGCAGAAATACAAACACCTGTCACATCATTGTGCTTTATCAATCTGAGGACTACTTTGCTCTAATTTACGACGGAGGATTAGGGCCATGTTGAAAAAAAAAAAGTTTAAATTTCGAGATTAAACTAGTAAATTTACGAGAATAAAGTCGTACATTTACAAGAATAAAGTCATAAATTTCGAGATTAAACTAGTAAATTTACGAGAATAAAGTTGTACATTTACAAGAATAAAGTCATAAATTTCGAGATTAAACTAGTAAATTTACGAGAATAAAGTTGTACATTTACAAGAATAAAGTCACAAATTTACGAGAATTATCTCATAAATTAACGAGTTCGAGACCAGCCTGCGCAAAATGATGAAAGTAGAACTCTAAGTATTTTCCTCTGCAGACAGCTTCCTCCAAATCAGTGTGCTTCTTTCTTCAGTTTCTTGCAGTATCTTTTCAGGGTGCTGATATTTTAAAGATGTGAAGATGATGATGTGTCAAAAGCATGTGTAGTTTCATATCTGCATAAGTAAAGCCCCAACACAACTATTTGTGTCTGTTATCGGTCTGCCTTGTTAAAGTGTCTCATGTGCAGAGACAGTTTGTGTCCTGTTCATCATTTTACAGATAAACAAGGTCTTTCAAGTTGTAGTGAAAACTTCTCTTGAACTGTTTTTACCGACTACACAAGGAAGTATCCTATTTCCTTATTAGTGAAACCTGTAGGACAAGATGCTCCATGTTTGTCATTTGAGAACAGGATGCTGCTGCTCTTCTGATATAGACTAAAATAACCACTTTATTCTTTTATTATTTAAAGAATTTAAGAGTTCTACTTTCATCATTTTCGCACAGGCTGGTCTTGAACTTGTTAATTTACGAGAATAAAGTTGTAAATTTCCGACTTTATTCTCGTAAATTTCCGACTTTAATCTTAAAATTAAATGTTTTTTTTTTTAATGTGGCCCTAATCCTCCATCGTACTAACTGACTTAAGAAGCGACAATTATCATCAGTCATTTTGTCCTCCTGTAGGCCATCTTTTTAATTATTAGGGTGGAGTTTTACAGTCTTTGTACATTCAAGTTTGAGTTTGTTGGATAACTTCAGTTATTTAAATTTTGTGTTTATTACATTTTTTTACATAACACTTGAAGGGGACATATCATGAAAAATCCACTTCTACTGTTTTTGAACATATATTTGCGTAACCTGAGTGTCTACCGACCCATAAAATGTGAAATAACTCCATCCAGTCCTTTGTTTGTGGTCTGCATAAGTCTGACAACACAGAGAAAATGCTCTGTTTCAAATTTGATCAGTTTGTGATGTCACAGTGGGATTCTGGTTAAAATAAATAAATAAAATCCCCTCCCCTCCCCTGGTATCTCTACATATGGACTCCATCCTGAGCCTAGAACAAAACTTTTGCACAGGTCTACCATTTTAAGCGGATTTGTCTTCCGGGAAAACTCAGGGGGGCTCATTACATTTAAAGAGACACACACACCAAAACGGAGCGTTCTGAGAGATTACATTTTCTTCTTGAATAAAAGAGGTATGCAGTTGTCCTCAGTCTGTAACAATGACCACTCACCCCACCAACACCAGAAGCTCTATATACATCATTTGTACTTTCACTGGACCTCCTGTGATGTATTTCTTCATGTCTGATCAATCAGAGGGGATGACAGGATCTATGATTGGCAGAGAAAAGGCAAGAACTACAGAGTTGTAAATGTACTGCAGCTGTTTAGAATGATTGAATATATATATAAAACTCCATTTGTAAAATGAAACACTATTTTCTCAGTTGAGGTATATACAAATAAACAATATTTACTGTGTTGCTGTCACTGCTTTGACACCTCCCTCATAACTACTGTAGATGCTCAGTCAACAAAAAAGAGGCCTGAAATGTTCATGTATCACAGACAGGCAGTACACCAGGCTCAAACTTGACTAATTCAAAACTTGTTGACAAAGCAAAATGAAATAAATTCCCCTCAACTCTCATGCATAAACAAACAACAATCCAAAGCCCGGGCTGATGTCAACCTCAGCTCAGCATGCAGGCTTCAATGGAAGGATTAAACAAGACTAATGGCCAAAAGGCTCTGTTCTGTCAAAGCTGCTGATGTGTAGACCATGTTTCATACCTGAAACCAGAAGGTGTTCGTCCTCGGTCCGGACCAGGCAGCTAGAGACAGAATGAGGGAGAGAGGAAGAGAGGGAGAGGAGAGGAGAGTGGAGGGGTCAGAGGCAAAATGACAGCGTCAGTGTGTTCGACCTGGGATGTTATTGTGGGAAATACCATGGAACGGTGGGGAGGGGAGGGTGGAGGGGGGGTGTTTGAACAAGAGGCGTATTCAACAAATCATGTTCGTCACTTATTGTGGCTCAGAGGCAAAAAAAATAAATTAATGAAAAAGTTAGTAAGGGGGTCAAACATTGTTAAGATTTGTGAGTTATGTGTTGAGCTTCAGTCAGTGTCAGCAGGAGGATCTTCTTCTCCCTTTAACATTCCCAAAATAGTATCTTTTAATTCTATGAAAGATGAAAAGTGTTTAATGTGACAGGCTAAAAGGACAGAGGTTTTGTCAGTTAAAACACGTATATATAATAATATAATTATATAAAAATGAGTTCTAGTCACCGCTGCATTAAAGGGTCTGACTTTGTGCATACACAACAGGTGGATGTTTTCCCATAGATTATCAGTGAGTGAAAATCCTTAAAATAGACCAAGTAGTGATAAAGCATCACTTCAAGAGTAAGAATATTAATAGAGAAATGTGCTGTGCAAATACACTAAAACAATAGCGTAAAATAACAAAAAATACTTAAGCTAAGAACAGGATATTTGAAGGATTAATCATTAGAATATGTTTTGTTATTTCAGTTTTTTTCAGCCCTCAGTTTAATTTTAATTTCAGAAGATAGGAAAAAGAAAAGAAAACTTCACGCTGAGATCATCAGAAAACATATATATATATATATATAAACATATATAAAACGTGAAAGTATATATGTTTGTCTTTAATTTTACAGCATTCAGATGATACCAAACGTCAAAAGCTTACAACACAAACAAGGTGTTTGAGCATTACATCATCTTTATTGCTAATAACTGAGGGTGTTTGATTTAAATGTGGGGTTCACTCCCAAATGGGTTCACTCCCAAATGTTTTTGACATTTTTTTCAAATACATTTTCTTTGTCTTTATCCAAAGAACCTGAAATTTATTAAGTACTAACAGCCACCTTATTAAAGGGACCAAACTGACTGGAGGAAAAACTCATGAACACGCTGCCATGTTTAAAAACACCAATAATGAACTACTGCTTTTATTCTACTTCATTTTTTAACATCAGTCACCTAATCTAACCGGTCCGTCCCTGTTGGAGGTTTGGACTGAAACCATTTTTGTGTTGCTGCTTTTTTTTTTGCTGCTGATTATGATATCTCTGATAAGTATCTACAATGTGACCTAATAGACTGTTTTTATGATGATTACTGCAGTGCTCTTCCTCTACCTGCAGCAAATACTTAAAACATAGTGACCAAAAAGCATGGCCCCATGACAAATTAAGAACTCATTGGGGAGTGTTTTGCAATTAAATGTCCATTTCCTTATGCATTACCTTTCTAAATCAAAGATTTGTTGAACCAAGAAGGATTGCCGATCTTTTCATCAATATGTCAGAGAAGTTCTGGTGAGTTTTTATAAAAACCTGGCAGCACAAAATATTCACAAATCTTTAATTAAAATACAGGGGTTTGAAAAAACTGATACATAGGTCACAAAAACAATTTGCATCAGGAAGCCAATTGCAGCTATATATTTTTTTGTTTTACTGTGATGGCATATTTCTTAAACCAAAGCAGGTCCTATGATGACATTACCAGCTCACCAAATTCACCTCAAGGCTGCTGGTGAAAAACCACAGAGCTACAGAGTACTGCGTCAGAGCTTCTAAGAATGAGCATCACACAGAGTAATTCAGCTCAGCAGAGCTCATCAGAGGACGCAGGCTGTAGAGGCCTCAGGTCAGAGGGGTCAAGGGTCAGGGGTCAGGGAGAGTGTGTGTGTATGTTTGTTTGCATGTGTGTAGTCCGTGGAAAAGTCAGCAGATGTTTTCCCATCTCGTCTCATATCACTACGCGGGTAGGTCAGATTTTACATAACAGACTTGTCCTCGTCCTGCTGAGGAATATTTGGTTAGCTGTTAAAACAGATTTTAAACCTATGATGTAGATGATAGGAAGTCCTGATGTTTTGAATAGGAACCTTGAATCCAGGTGAATGTTGGAAGCTAACATCACATGTCTTGATTTTTAAACATTCAGTATCTTTTAAAAAAATACATAGTAAAACTGATTGAGTCATGTGATTTTCAGTTTTACATTGACAAATCTTTCCTCCTTGACAAACCTCTGGACTTAATCTCCTGCTTTAAAATAAGGGACCCTGCAGGAAACTATGTGGGTAACGGGGTTCTTAAGCAGCAGCAAAATTTCTGTCTACATTCTTCTACATGCCACAGTGTAATCCTTTATGCCACCACTGGAGGACAACAAAGAGGACTGTGTTTAAAACCTGGCTTTAACTTCATGTAATCTTCCTGCAGGTACAAAAGGCAACAAAGTAAATTCAGATACCCTTGGGTATGAAATGTCATGCTTAATTTACACAACGTTGTCTTGTTACAGTCTCAGTCTAAAGATATGTTGTCGATGACGGGTAAGAAGAACTCAGCACTCAGCAAAAGGTTGTTAAAGTTAGGATATTGAACAAAAACAGAGATACAAAGTGCTGAGTTTTCTAAAAAATACAAAAGATGTTTTATCACCAGCTATAGTCAAATATAAATCAATAAACTATAGTGTGTTCTGTTATTTGTTAAGTGTGTGTTTGAAAGTAAAACTTGTTACAGATCCTTTTTGTTACATGCCATGTATGCAGACTTTTATTAAACACATTAAGGTTGACTTAAACTTTTTCTACTGCTGCAAAATGTAATAAAAGATATTATTTAAAGTTAAAGTCGTTTACAGTTTTAGTTTCAGCCATCTGGTCCCTCAACACCTGGAATAAGTGGAAAAACACACGCGCGCACACACACACACACACACACACACACACACACACACACAAACACACACACACACACACACACACACACACACACACACACACACACACACCCTTCCCCAGAAAGGTTAACTTGTCAGGTTCAGCATTCCTTTTGCACTTTGATTATTGAACCTAAATCAGACTGAAGTTAAAAGTCTCTTTATGACAAACAAAAGCTAAAAAAAAAACATGAATGACAAAACTGACAACTTCGATATTTTGAATGTTATGCCTATAACCACTGCCTTGGTGCAGAAGCCATGTGAGGAAACATATTTCACAGCAAATAATCAGAATGACTGATACATTTCACTCTTAACAGAAAAAGTCCCCTGGACATGTTAAGGACAAGATCAGCAGAAAGATAACACATGCCTCCAAAATTGACACAAACTGAAAGTTCTTCACGGGAGCTTTAGAACCCCATCTTTATTTCATGTTCAGTATTTCCCCCTGTTTTTATGGCATTGATTTGAATTGAAATGTGCTGGACAAATAATGTCACGATTATTGAATCTGTTCATTTTTTTAAAGCTATAATTCATGCCCGGTTTATGACAGTGCACTCGATGTATAATTAAAGCCAAATTTCCTTATTGGGAAATAGGAAAGGCCCAAAGCACTGACAAGTGCGAACGGATAGTTTTGCTAGCAGGCTATAGCTAACTGGTTAGTTAGCTAACAATAAATGCACTAATAACCTTGTTATGCTGCAGTGAATATTATTATATATTCAACAACACAAACTACAACATAGTACAGAGCTAAATTGTATCAGACGATACCTGGAATGTTCCAAGATTAAATTTGGTGCTGTGAATTCTGCCTCTTGTACCCTCAAAAGAACTATTTTCCTGTATGCAACCAAATTCTGTTCACTTCTAGTGGAACCGCTTTGAGCTCAATTTTCTGAATATTCTGAATTTCTATCTGAATTTGCAGAATTTTTATCAGATTTAGTCCTTCACAAGTGATAGAATAATTGTTGTAGGTGACTTCAATATCCATGTGGATGTTAATAATGATAGCCTTAGCACAGCTTTCATGTCACTATTAGACTCTATTGGTTTCACCCAGGGTGTAAACAAACCTACTCATCGTTTTAACCACACCCTGGATCTTGTTTTAGCTTATGGCATTGAGATCCAAAACCTTACAGTTTTCCGAGAAAATCCTCTTCTATCAGACCATTTCCTTATTACTTTCGACTTTTCCCTCCCAGAATTATCTCTGCTTAATAAAAATGTGCTCTCTAGAAGTTTATCTGATAGTGCTGTAGCTAGATTTAAGGAAGTTATTTCAGCTGCTTTTGATTCAGTACTGTGTTTCAACCCAGTTGGAAACTCTTATGATAGCTTTAGTCCCTCTCAGCTAGATCAGTTTGTTGATAGTGCAGTGGATTCGCTGAGAGTTACTCTTGATTCGATTGCTCCCCTGAAACAGAAGGTTATAAAACGGCAGAGACTAGCTCCATGGTTCAACTCAGAAACCCGTCTCTAAAACAAACGTCGCAAAATTTTGAAAGAATATGGCGCTCTACCAAAACGGTAGAATCTCGTTTATTCTGGCAGGATAGTCATAATAAATATATGAAGGCTCTACGTCACGCTCGAGCTGCCTACTACTCCTCTCTAATCTAGGAAAACAAAAGCAATCCTATATACCTTTTCAGCACTGTAGCCAGGCTGACAGAGAGTCATAGCTCCATTGAGCCTTGTATTCCTTTAGCCCTCAGCAGTAATGATTTCCTGAGCTTTTTCAACAACAAAATTCTAGACATCAGAGACAAAATTGGTAACCTGCTGCCCTTACCTACTGCAGATACGTCTGATACGGCAGAGACAGTTCCAGGACCTGATATTAATCTAGACAGTTTTTCTCCAATCGACCTTTCAGAGCTGAATTCAATTATTTCTGCGTCGAAACCGTCAACCTGTCTGTTAGGAATCAAGGAGTTCTATTTGATCAAGATATGTCCTTTAGCTCTCACATCAGGCAAATTTCAAGAACAGCCTATTTTCACCTTCGTAATATATCCAAGATCAGGAATACCCTGTCGCAAAATGATGCAGAAAAACTAGTTCATGCATTTGTTACCTCCAGGTTGGATTATTGTAATTCTCTTTTGTCACGGTGCTATGGTGGATCTCTAAAGACTCTTCA